TCTTGGTCAACACTCAGCTGGCCATGGTGTTTGCAGAGATCGCCCACACCAGCCTACTCTTCTGCAATGATCTCTGACACCTGGGAAGAGGGTTTCCTCTATCAATGTTCCATTTAGGGCTGAGCACTGCACAGTCTCTTAGTCTCTATACCTTGACCAGTTGTGGATCTTTGTGTTAATTACCATAATAATGATAAGTCATCAGTAGTCACTTAAATATTATGTCACTTGGGCAGAGTATTAACAGTCAGATCCCCCCTCTGGTCTATGACCTATCTACCTGTCCACAAATAATGAAAAAATTCTGTCCACAAATAATGAAGAAATGCTAAGGTAATATTTTTACTTCTGTAGTCCAGAAGACAGCCACTGCCTGACTGTTGTATGTTTATTTAATTTGGTTTGCATATTGTAGTGACATCCTTCTCTGAAAATCCACAGCTTGCAACAATGAATCAGTGAATAAATACATCAGAAAATACTTCGAAGAAAAGCGATTCCAATGACGATTATCCTCTTTTCAGTAAATACATTCGAGTACTGGTTCTGTTTGTACCATCCCTTAGGACCCTTAACAGGAAAGGGAGGTGTGGATGGGTGTTCTTTCTACAATGAGATGTTGTGAAACTTTAATTGAATGTAGACTCTTAGTAATCTACTTATAAGTCTTCTAGATAGGAAAATGTCCATGTCTGAACTTGTACTTGTTAAGATTCCTCAGGACAACTACCAGTGTAGCTGAATTTCCCTGTGACTACAGGAATTTCCTAATTAACAAGTCAAAATCTGTGAATGGATAGTCTTCACTGATTAGTCACTGCTAACTCAGGGAGATCACTCAGAGACACCCAGAACAGCTCATACAGAGAGGAGTATTTAACCAGGCTCATTTTTCCTATTATTTTTTATCAATTCTTAATCTTCTGGGCATCTGACATTAACACCATCCTTCAATCTAGTTTCTGGGAGATTTACTCATCTTTCTCCTCAAAACAGACAAGCCCTGTTTCTGCCTTGCTGAGGATCTAGGAGCTGGACATCTCTGAAGAAATTTCCAGCATGGTGAGTCCTTTCCCTGTTCTGTAGAGAGCAGGGGCCTCTATGAAACCCACAAGAACTCAAGGTTCAGTGTTGGTTTTTCCATTTAGGGTAGAGGGAGCAGTAAAGTCTTCACTCAAGAAGATGGTGGGCATTTTCAATTAGTTTATCATTGATACCTGAGCAAAGGAAAATTCAGTTTGACTCTTGCAGATTGTAAAATAAAATTTGTATAAGTCTAAACATGTAGAAAAGTAGAAAGAAGCCTGATTATTCTGTCTGAAGAGTGTATAGGACACCTGGTGGTTGTGGTGAGTGACTGGCTGAAAGAAAAAAAAAGTGACATGAACAAACATCCAGGGAATGACATTAAGTGAACAAGCATGGTGGATTTTAAATGGCATTGTCTAGTATTATTACCATGTTTAACCCCGTGAGTGTGGTGGTATTGTGTTCCCCAAAATATTGTGCACCCTAATAAACTTATCTGGGGTCAGAGACAGAACAGCCACTAGATACAAAGGCTAGAAAATGGTGGCACTCACACCTTTAATCCTAGCGTTCCAGAGGTAGAAATCCCTCTGGATCTCTGTGAGTTCAAGGCCACATTGGAAACAGCCAGGCATGGTGACATACACCTTTAATCCCAAGAAGTGAGCCTTTAATCCCAGGGAGTGATGGCAGAAGGCAGAAAGATATATAAGGCGTGAAGACCAGATACTAGCAGCATTTGGCTGGTTAAGCATTTAGGTATTTGAGCAGCAGTTCAGCTGAGATTCATTCTGGATGAGGACTCGGAGGCTTCCAGTCTGAGGAAACAGGGTCAGCTGAGGAACTGTTGAGGTGAGGCAGCTGTGGCTTGTTCTGTCTCTCTGATCTTCCAGCGTTCACCCCAATACCTGTCTCAGGTTTGATTTTATTAATAAGAACTTTTAAGATTCATGCTACATGTGAGAGCCGATGAACATATGCAGTAGAAAATTTCTCAGATTCACAAACACATTTCTTATCTAGCCCACATTTGCCATCATCCTTTACTCTCTTCTACACCAGTTGAAAAAGCTGTGTTTCTCATACTATTAGATTTTCCTTCATCTTGAGAAAATTTATTATTTTGGTTTCTCTGCTTGCTTTTGTTCATTTTTTTTCTAGTGTTAAAATGTAGGAGACAAATGGAAGATTTAAATAGAAATTCATTTCTGTTAACTATTTTTAAAGTATTTTAAAGACTTAGTAAACCATGGTGTAGGACTTCACTATACTTGAACTTAATATTTTAAATGTTGATTTGAGAATTATACTCATATTAGACCAATCTTGCTAAGTTTACCAGTTGACAAAATTTCTAAATATTTTTGGATGCTTTCACATTGCTCATGTAGTAAGTGCAAAATACTGCTAAATCTACCATAAAATTAGGGTGGGGTTGCTCTCTTTTTTTAAATTCACAGATATGTGTACTCTCACACACACAGAATGTATGCTGTTTGTACATAAATGCATGTGCATATGGAGCAAAACTTATTCCATGATGCTAACTATAGAGTCTTGAGGAATAAAAGGTATAAGAAAATATGATGCAGCATTATTATTGGATAAATTCATTATTAAAGCTGCTATCTCTCTCTAAGAAGGGAAAACATATTACTTTGTGTTATTTGAGAGTAGTTTTTAATCTTAAGTTATTTAAAGCTACACACACATACAAACACACAAACAGAAACACACACACATATAATTATTTACTTTGGGTAGTATACAACGTAACTTCTTTTTAATTCTTTCATCACTGAGGAATGCTTTGTTACAATATTCTGGTACATATCTTAAATAATATTTGACAGTTATCACTTGACTGGCTGGATCATTCATGAACAAGCTGACGGTAGACATTTTTCTTGATTCAGTTGGTCTCACTTCACTTTATACTGTATCTATCTTACATTTTAAAACAAAAAAATTACTCATCTTTATGTCCTCTTTCATTTTTCCTTCAACTATGTTGCAGTATTTTCTTTTTCTTCTCTCTGTGATCAGGGTTTTAAATTTTTTGGTAAATAAATATTTTAATTAATTCATTAAAAATTTAATAAAATATTTTTTATAGTTTTTGACAATTTTATCCATTATTTCTGTCCCCTAACTGTTCTGTGTTTTCCACACTCCCTCTCAAATTTATGACTTCTTTAATTATTAATGTTTTTTATATATAATAGTATATACTTATGTATATGAATGCATATGTGTGTTGTTTATATGTGTTATGACTAGGGCTGACTTGGATCTGATAACCTGTTAGAGGGCTTGTCTCAACACTAGAGAAAACTGATTCTACTTTTCTTTTTTTTTTGTTTGCTTCATTTATTTTGTTTTTGAGACAGGGTTTCCCTGTGTAACAATCCTGATTGTTCTGAAACTCGCTGTCTAGAGCAGATTGGCCTCAAACTCACAAAGATTTGCTTACCTCTGCCTCCCAAGTATGGAATTAAAGGTGTGCCCCATCACTGTCCAGGTTCATTCTGTCTTTGTTAATAGCATTTAATGCCTGTAGCTCTTCATCTGGGGGTAAGGTATGTGAGGTTTCCTCCAGCAAGATTGGCATGTGAACTGATATTGCCATTAAGAATGTCTTATTTCGGCAGTCATGTTATTAAATTTTTATGATATGTAGCTGTGCAATATATAGAAGACATTATCTTGCGGTAAACAAATGTAATCATCTGACTCTTACATTCTTCTACTGTGTTCCCTGAGCCTGGGTGCACAGTTTGTTTTAGAGATGCATCAATTAGGGATGAACACTCCATAGTGTTGGCCTCTTGATTTTTATCAGTTATGGATATAAGTAATACTCTCATCTGCTACAAAAGTAGCTTCTTTGAAGAAGGATGAAAGCTATGTTTGCCTGTAGGTGTAAGGATGGGTATTTAGAATGGAATGCAGTTGGCAATTATACTGGTCTAGGAAAAAATAGTGATTGTTTCCCTTCATCTAGGGACCGTGACCTCATCAGCCAGGAGCTTGCTAGGTTTTCAGTACTAGGTGTGATTTCCTTCCTTTTGAGAGGGCCATAAGTCCAATTGGCAATTGTTGGTTACCTCCAAACTAAAAGTGCCACCTTGTCCCATTGGGGATATCTTTCTGTGCCAGTCATTGCTGTTGTCCATAGGCTTTATAGCTGGGAAGGAGTATTAATTACTTTTCTCTTTTGGCAGATTGCATACTACCTTCATAGAATTAGAGAGCTAGTCCACAAACTCTTCAAATGTTGTAACTCCAGATATCTAGATTCCATCACAAATACACAAATATGAACAACCAGGAGAATATGACTCTTCCTAAACACAGCAATCCCATTCTAACAGGCCCTGAGAAAAGCCATTTAGATGACGTATGAGGCAAAGACTTTAAAATAGCAATTTTAAATATGTTTGAAGATATGAAAATTATCCTTTATAAAGACTGTGAAAATAGAAACAGTTGAATGAAATAATGAAAACAATTTAAGACCTGAAAGTAGAATTTAACAAAGATGCAAAATCACTAAGAAAACCCTAACTTAAATAAAAATGGGAATAAAAGAAACTCAGGAAGTCAAACAAAATCTCAGATATAAGTCTCACCAACAGATTAAAAGATGTGGAAGAGAGGATTTCAGATCTTGAAGACAAGAAAGAAAAAAGTGGATAGCTTATCTAGTCAAAGAAAACATTAAATAAAAAACCAAAGACAATTAAGAGCTGTACTTGATGAAGTCATCTGAAGTCAGTGTTCAATACACCTAGAACCTATGCCCCATCCCCAGATGGGCATGTGTCCTCTGAACCTATCCTGGTTACAGAGCAGTGTGTGTGTGTGTGTGTGTGTGTGTGTGTGTGTGTGTGTGTGTGTGTGCACGCTCGCATGCACATAGGCCATAAAGCTAGAAAAGAGAACATGAGCAGGAAGGAGTAAGTCTTAAGAGAGGGGAGAAATGGTAATGGTGGGGGAATCCATGTGATAAGAAAGCAGATCGGGGACAAATCTTCTAGAGATAAGAGGAATCCCGCAAGAATGGGTGGGAGGGCACAAAGAAAACTTCAGAGTGGAGAATGATGAGAGCAATGTATGGAAACACATTTCCTGACTGGGGTTCATAACCTTTGTTAGGGTAGCTGGAAGACAGATGGTAAAGGATTCTGTGGGGGTGCTGTCATTTCAGGAAAAATTTGAGAGCAAAGATCTCCCATGAAAAGAACGAAAGTGAAAATGTTCCTGTATTCTCTGTGATCTAGAAAATAACTACTCAGGTATAAAGTTGAACAATCTTTTTTTTCCCCTTTTGTAAACAGAAGAACTCAAGCAAAAAATCTGTTTCTACACAAAGTGACACACAGTCCCAGACGAAATTCCAACTTAGCATAACTTCACCTATCAGGATAGATCTTGCTGAGGCTCAACATCAGACCCCTCCCAGTCATTCCTCAAGCCTTGCTGAGAGTCAACCTACTACTGCTCCTGGCCTTGCTGTGAGTCAACCTCAGATCCTTTATGGGAATTCACCAAACTCTCCCAGCCATTCCTCATCAAATTTTATGATTTACTGTTTCCTTTATGATATCTTTGTAACATAATTACAACGGTCATAACCTTTAAAGAACTTTTTAAACCTCGCACTAATTTATTTAATGTGTTCATTCATTCACTGGGTGCATATTTTGAGACATTGACTGCAATTTACATAAGTCTACTCTTTCTATTGCATTGTGTTATATGTGACATTTCTGAGCAGTCACATATAATTTGGAGCATGATGTCCTTTGGCACATCTAACTATTTGTTCTCATAGATAATAATGTTAAATGTAATTAGAAACATGCATAAGTCTGGAAAAAACACAATTTGATTTAATAATTATTTTGCTTTGAGTTACACCAGCTTTGTAAAGCAATTTTCTAAGAGGCTTTGAATTTAGAAGACTGGTACCCTAATTGATCATAGACACAAAAAGCAACTAGCAGTAGTAAATATCACAGTTATATTGAAATGATTCCATGGCAACTTACCTTTATTTTTAAGATAAAATTTAGAATATTTAAAGTTTCATGCTTCTTATAAATTTATAAAAAGTATGTTGAAGACAATAGAAATAAGTATTTCTCAATGTAGAAATGTTTCTTGTACATGAAGAAATTTTATTTATTTAAGCTGAGTTATGATCCCTATAAAATTTTTAACCTAAATAGATACTGAACTGGGTTTTGTGCATGATAGCCCAGCAAGATACAGGTTCACAGGTACCCCCCCAATACTGACTGGTACCTTGGTTTTTTGTGATTGCTGTTGTAATTTCTTTTTCAGCTCTGTGAGGCTTCCCCTATTTAAAATAGACAGAGTGGAAGAGCAAGGAAAGAGATACTGTGATAAATGACATTATGGGAATAGGGAGAAACAGGGTGCTAGGGAAGTTCCCAGAAATCCACAAGGATGACTCCACCTTAGACTACTAGCAGTAGTTGAGAGGGTGCCTGAACTGGTCTACTCTGGTTACCAGATTAGTGAATACCCTACTGTCATCATAGAGCCTTCATCCAGTGACTGATGGAAGCAGATACAGAGATTCACAGCTAGGTGCCAGGCTGAGCTCCAGGAGTCCAATCAGTGAGAGAGAGGAGGGATTCTATAAGCAAAGGACACTGAGATCATGATGGGAAAACCTACAGAGACAATCAGCCAAACTAGTGGAAATCCATGAACTGTGGACCAATATCTGTGGATCCCCCACGGCACTGGACTAGGCCCTCTGGACATTCGAAACAGTTGTTTAGCTTGAACTGTTTGGGGGTGTCCACAGACCGGGAGAATCAGGATCTGTCCCTGGTGCATGAGCTGGCTTTTTGGAGCCCAGTGCCTAAGGCATGACACCTTGCACAGCCTTGGTGCAGCAGGGAGGGGCTTGGACCTGCCTCAACTGAATGTACCAGGCTCTGCTGACTCCCCATGGAAGACCTTGCCTTGGAGGAGATGGGAATGGGGGATGGGTTCGGGGGAAATGCTGGGGGGTAGGAAGAGGAAGGAGGGAGTGATCTGTGGTTGATATATAAAATGAATAGAAAATTTCTTAATAATAAAAATTTAAAAATAAAATAACATAAAATTGCTCTCCTGAAATTCAGAAATAGTACAAGAAAGTCAGCTGTGGAGGCACATACTATAATCCTTTCACTAAGGAGGCAAAGATAGATGGACCTCTGCAGGTTCTAGAAAAGTCTAGTCTACATTGCAAGTTGCAAAACAAATAATGAGACCCTGGTTCAAAAAAAAAGAGAGAAAGAAAGGAGAGAGAGAGAGAGAGAGAGGGAGGGAGGAAGAAAAGGAAAGAAGAAAGAGATAGAGGGAAAGTGAAGGGCACTGTAGAGACAGCTCATCAATCAGCTGTCCCTTCGTGCCTCTTTTCCAGCTCCAAGGTTCTCCTTCATACCCATTACTCTGCATGTGAAGAGCTTCTAATCCAAACCATTCAGATTGGCAAAGTCCTTGGGGTGCTTCCCATGTCCTTTTGTAAAGCAATGCCGATATTTTTGATAAGGTTTTTAAATTCCAATCTTTAAAATGCTGCAATGGGTTCATGAAGTAGCTCACAGGAAGAGTTTCTGATTACAGAATGCTGCCTTGGGTTCATTCCCAAATACTGGGAAAAAAAAAAAAACCAAAAAAACAAAACAACAACCCACCAATACAATCCCCCTTTCTACTTTTCTACCCTGTAAAACTAGTATCAAACAAGCTGGAATTACTGCCTAAATCTCTATTTCTTCATTACCTAGATAACCAGCCATTGTTTAGATTTTCACCATTCTATCGGATGAAAGGGTTTTTTTTTTGTTTTTTGTTTTTTTTTTTTATCATCTGTCTTAACTGTAGTTGATTGTCCTATGTATACTCTATATAGAGCCCAATAATGAAGATGGAACCAAAAGAAGCTTCTGAGGAAGATGGTTACCACAAAGGTCCCAAAAGAGTGAAGGTGTTGAGCACAACAAAATCATTTATTTATGATCAGACAGAAGAGAAAATGATGTTCCATGCCACAGCGGCTACTGAGACCGAATTCTTCAGAGTGATGGTGTTCGATGTAACACTTCAAGAGATGTTCGCCAAAAAGAATCCCATTGTTCTCACAGATTATTTCTGCAGCAATGGAACTCTGATGATACACAAAGCCTCCAGTGTGTCTGCAGCAACTGATAACTCAAAAATGAGTATCTCAGACACATTGAAGAAAAACACCAAAGCAAATCCTAAAATTCATGATCTTCACTTGCAAACAAGAGAAGTGCTTGTGTATGGAGATTTTAAAATATGTAGGGTAAGCCAAAATTTTGAAAAATTTCTTCTGAAAACTCATGTTAAATCTTAACTTGGCAACTGCAACATTGTCAGGCAGTTAAACACAGGAAACATAGGCCTTCTGTATAAGAGAGAGATAAGCAGAGTTTCCAACTCTGGTATGTGATACCATCTCTTTTAATATGTTTTTTTCTCAAGGCAACATCATGACAATTCTTTAGAAAGCGATTCATCAATAGCCTTTTGCATTTTCCATGCTATGACAATCCATCTATAGTAATCCTAGTCCCGGATGCTGTTCAGTTTATAGCACACTTCCCTTTTAGATTTTATTTCTTTGATAGCTTCCTTACCCATATTACTGGAAACTCAATTGTAAATGAAGAGTCTAACTGCTAGCCTGGGTACAGGTTGAGACACTGAGAGTAAGAAACCAAGTAGACAATTCTGCCCTAGAAGGCAGCCCTGTCCAAAAAACTGGGATTCTGACTCCCATGTCTTCTGAAGATGATGAAAGCCAGAGCTTTGAGTAATTCTGAACTCAGTGAGTGTCTTTAAGTCTCAATACCCCCACAAAATAGCATGCTTAGCTGACCTCACCACGTGTTTATAATAACCTTTTGTGTTCTTTTATACATGTGTTCAGCAGTGGATTTTTAATCAATTTTATCTGTACTGATTAAATGACTACAGTCTATTTAAATGACTATGAACATACATGAGTCTATACAACTAATAAGTAAAGTAAATTGAATACAAACAAAAGAGCAGAACTAGAAGATGTGGTTTTAACCTTTGAGAGACATAGAGTAGAGTGAATGAATGCACAATTAATTAAATATGATCCATTTCAATGAGAACTGCCATAGTCATTCTTAGACTCACAATGAACTACAGCTTTTCTTCTCAGTCTTCTCAAGTCTCCTGAATGTTCATAGAAACCCTGCAAAGGTTTCCAGTTCTGTTTTGTTGCTGTTGTTGCTTACTTATATACTTTTGTTTTTGTTCCCCTCTTTTAGCTAATTAAGATCTTGGCTCTTCTGATAAATTAGCACCAGTACTTAGGAAGCCACTCAATTTTTCTAGAGAATATTTCAAAGGAAGAATTTGCCAACACAAATATCTTAGGCTGTTTGGTTCTTGTCATTCTATTGTTTAAAATGTGTACTTACTTTTTTCTTTTCTTTTTTAAAGAACACTAAACAAATCATTGGCCACATATTTGATAACATAGATAAAATGGGCCAACTCCTTGAAAAACAGAAACTACTAAAATTCACAGAAAGAGAAACAGATTTACTAAATAATCTTATTAAAGAACTGAATCAACAATTACTAACTATCTTAAAGAAGATGGCAGGTACAGGAAGTTTTACTGATAAATTTTGCCAAATATTTAAGAAAGAAGTTTTATTTATCTATTTATTTATTTTTTATTTCCACTGCTGGGTTTGAGGAGAAGCACTCATGCCACAGTGCTCCTGTGGAGATCAGAGAACAATTCTGAGAATGAGTTGTTTTCTAAATCACGAATCCTGGGATTGAACTCAGGTTCTCAGGCTTGACAATAAGCAGCCTTACCTACTGAGACACCTCAATGTCCTTTGTACCTACAATTTTAATACTAATATACATATTTGCTTTGACATAGACAACCTTCTGTTAACCCACATTATTTCTTATTGATGTGTTAAATTTTGACACATTTCTCACAAATGAATGTTATTTTCTTTTGCAGAAAGGTAACGGAAATAATTGTATACGCTATGTAATTCAGGATAACACAGGTGAAATGAAAATGGTGGTATCTGGACACCTGACCAGTGTCAACTGCAAGATTGGTGACATAGTTAGACTTGTCGGCTTCGAATTGACCTCAGATGTGGGTGATTGGTTTCTGAGAGCTGTGAGGTACAGTAATATGGAGGTATGTACTCTAGGGCAACAGTATTCCTAACAATACTTTTATTTAATACTCTACCAAAACATGGTTGCTGGCTTTATGTAGAAAATTCAATGGGTGGCAGGAAAATTCAGTTTTGTCCCATTAATGTGGGTAATTTTTTTCTTACCATTTATAAATAAGTTTATTTTTTTGACCATAGTAAAGAGAAGAAATTCGGAAAAACTCCCAAACTGTAATCCCCCAAGATAAATAATAAAGCAGTTATATTTATTTAGAAAGACATATTATTTAGGAGAAACTTAGGTTAATTTCTTTCAAATTCTGGCTCATTGGTTTTCCACATTAACTATATATTCAAAGAAACTCAGGATTTTTACCTACAACATGAAAATAATGTCCCTCACAGAGAAACATCAGCAGAACTCACAGCACACCTAAGTTTGAAAGGATACCCAGAACAAAATCAGGCCACAAAGGCACTAGAATCCACTTTCTTAGTCAAACTAACATATACATCCCTGTAGGATGTTCAGTACACTAAAATAAACTAATAGAAACTTCACCTTGAAAACATCCAAGGGCTGACTGCTCCATTCTCATAGAAATGTTATCAGATCACAATTGTTCTAAGGATCCTCACAAAGTTTCCAGACTTTGTCCCACAGCAGATGTACTAGGTGTGCCTTTAGTGGTCTCTTCCCATTTTACCCAGAGAGACTTTCTACACATCTTACTTTAGGTGCTCCAGCTCTGTTCTCCCACTATATCATGGTACCTCCTACTCTTCTACGCTGTTCATGATTGGTAGGCATGAATAGCACATGTCATGGTCTCGAGCAACGGAGGAAAGCTGAATCATAGGGGGAAAAGTCCATTAGAGAAGGCAGGCAAGAATGAGGAAAGAGAGGTGGCTCATATGGACAAGATAGTGTGAGGAAGGGAGAACTATGGGACCAGCTGGATAGTAACTGATCTGACGTCATGATTTTCTCATCAAGGTCATCGAATCTGAAAATAAGAAACAATGATGCAACCATAATTCAATCATTTCCAGAGTCTTCCTTCTGAGAACATGGATGCCACTGAAAATGGAGATAAGATCCAAGTACAGAAAAAATATACACATGTTAAAATACAATATATACAGAAGCCAGCTCTTAATTATAGGAAATAATACTTTCTTTACCTTATTCTTTATAGACTGCTGTATCTTCTCCTTTGTGTAGTTTGTATGCATAAGTCTCACAAAATGAAAAATAAACTCTGTATGTAAATCAGTGTTTCCAGTAATTTCTTTCCTAGATCTGTAAGTTGCTTTAAAACAAATATTTGGTGGTCTGCTGCAGATCAGAGTGGAGTAAGATTCAAGTCAACAAATATTCAAATTTATATTTTGAGTGTGATATTTACTGGAAAGACCTTCTGTAGGAAGGAACAGGCTGTGTCCTCTTCAGAAAAATCAAACTTAATAAAAGATAGGTAGGGACTGAAATGTGGCCTAGAATGTAGCTGAAGGATACAATCCTGTCTATTATTTTCCCTTTGTATATTTCAGAACATTACATAGTTTTGTCATTTGAAATAAGAATTCCATAAGACTGTAATCTCCTATTTGCAAGTATGAGGAATGTCATCTCCAATATTAGGTAAAATTTTCATTGCATAAAAAATAAACTCTGTATGTAAAGCAGTGCTTCCAACAAAATCATAGAGGAAGACTTCCAAAATCTAAGGTAAGTGATATCTACTAAGGTCCAAGAGGCATGCAAAACACCAAATAGGTAGGATCAAAAAAAGGAACTTCCAACATAATATTCAAAACACTAAATGTTTAGACCAACAAGAAAAAGGCAAGAGAGAAAGGTCAGCTCACATACAAAGGAAGGCCCATCAGAAAAACTAACTGAGCTTGAGCAGATGTGCTAAAGGAACAAAATTCCACAAATATCTGTAGCAAGAATCTTAAAGAGTCTTTATTAACAAAACAAACCCGGGCCAGGTATTGGGGTGAACTGGAAGATCAGAAAACCAGAACAAGCCACAGCTACCTCACCTCGCCGGATCCTCAGCTGGTCTTGTTTCCTCAGACTGGAGGCCTCTGAGTCCTCATCCAGAATAGGTCTCAGCTGAACTGCTGCCCAAAAGCCTGAATACCTAACCAGGCCAAATGCTTAACCAGGTCAAATGCTTAACCAGGCCAAATGCTTCTAGATCCTGGTCCTCACGCCTTATATATCTTTCTGCCTTCTACCATCACTCCCTGGGATTAAAGGCTCACTTTCTGGGATTAAAGGTGTGAGTCACCATGCTTGGCTGTATCCTTGAACACATGGATTTCTGCCTAGCTCTGCCTCCCAAGTGCTGGGATTAAAGGCGTGTGCTACCACTGCCTATCCTCTATGTTTAATATTGTGGCTGTTGTGTCTCTGACCCCTGATAAGTTTATTAGGGTGCACAATATTTTGGGGAACACAATACCACCACATTTTAAGATTCCTGCTACATCTGGCAGCCAATGTCCGTGGTATGAATTCATGAAAAAGCTGCTTGTCTGTGGCCTTGTGGGCCCCGGCTCAGGGCCGAGCTACACTTGGCCAGTTGTGGTGGCACATGCTGATAGGTTTTGCTGAAGGAGGGAGAGGCAGGAGGATCCCGAGTTTGAGGCTGGCCTAGGAGGCTTGGGAGAAGCTTCGGCCCAGACCGAACACAAACAGTGGTGGGACCATGGAGGCAGTGGCTGCTGCTCCGAGTGGCTGGCTCCTTCTCATCGTGTTGGTGACTGCGGTGATGCTGCTACCTGGGACAAAGAGTTTACTGCTGCTGGTTCAGAGAAAAATTACCAGGACCATCGTGTTACAAGAAAACATCGACAAAGGTCAGTTTGGAAAAGTTTGGCGAGACAAATGGTGGGGAGAAACTGCTGTGAAGATATTCTCTTCTAGGGAAGAATACTCATGGTTCCGAGAGACAGACATTTATTAGACTGTGATTGCTCCAAACCACACACACAAAAAAAGTCTGCAGTGAACCATGAACACGCCTAACAGTGACGTTGAAATCTTCAAAAAGATGACAGGATCCCACAACGATGATTCCATATGGACTATGGTAAAGCCATTAAGCTGATTAATACCATGGAAAGACTGACTCTGGACTATAAACTACTCAGGACAATTTTGAGATGGCTAGCTGAGATGATCCAGCCTGACAGACTACTTGAACAAGGACTTGAAACAAGCCCTGCACTTTCTCATTATGCAGCGACTGGACAAATGATACAGGACTTGACAATTAACCCAAAAATTTTCTTTTCAGGATCCCCTAAAGATGTCTTCACTCCCAGAAAGCAGGAAGGAATTTTAAGAAAATGACGCCCATCTTCCCAAGAGGTGGGATGGGAGGCTTTTGGTCATTTAATGAGTTATGGATATTGTCATTGTGTATGATGGTTGGTTACAAGTTGTTAATTGTTAATGGTAAGGAAAAAAGCTGAACAAGGAGATTAGATTCAGAGTTTTTGTTTAAAAAAAAGAAATGACATAGATCATTGAGTCTATTCTGAGAAAAAAGATAAAGAAATAATAGGATAAATGGGTAGATCACTGAATCTACACTAAAAAGAAAAAGGAGAAGGTATAAAAATGACAAAAGGTAGATTACTGAATCTATTATGAAAAGAAAAAATACTTTTAAAAAGGAACTACTTGTTTTAAATAAGATAAGTAATGAAAATTTTTTGTCTGAATTTGTCAAATGTTACTGGACTGGACATTGTTATATACTAATGGAATTTTTTGTCTGAATCTGTCAAATGTTAATGGACTAAACGTTGCTAATGTAATCTTGACTGTGTATATTGTATATACTTACTGAATATAATTTTTCTTGTATTAGTTATACTCTTTTTTAAATTTTAGACAAAAAGGGGGAAATGTGGTGGTATTGTGTTCCCTGAAATATTGTGCACCCTAATAAACTTATCTGGGGTCAGAGACACAACAGCCACAATATTAAACATAGAGGATAGGCAGTGGTAGCACACGCCTTTAATCCCAGCACTTGGGAGGCAGAGCTAGGCAGAAATCCATGTGTTCAAGGATACAGCCAAGCATGGTGACTCACGCCTTTAATCCCAGGGAGTGATGATAGAAGGTAGAAAGATATATAAGGTGTGAGGACCAGGATCTAGAAGCATTTGGCCTGGTTAAGCATTTGGCCTGGTTAAGCATTCAGGCTTTTGAGCAGCAATTCAGCTGAGACCCATTCTGGATGAGGACTCAGAGGCCTCCAGTCTGAGGAAACAAGACCAGCTGAGGATCCGGCGAGGTGAGGTAGCTGTGGCTTGTTCTGGTTCTCTGATCTTCCAGTTCACCTCAATATCTGGCTCAGGTTTGATTTTATTAATAAAGACTCTTTAAGATTCCTGCTACAAATATCATCCAAGATAACTATGTCCAACAAATCTATCAGGTGTAATTGATGACAAAATGAATGTTTTTCATGATAAAAGCATTTAACAAATTTATGAGCACTGAGCCAGTTGTACAGAGAAAGTAGAGAATGACGAATGCCTGAATTGTCCCAAAAGAGTCCCCTAAGGCCCACTTAACTGGCCTACAATCTAACAAGTTGAGGTAACTGGCAGGAAACAGATTCAAACACACATTCAAAATGGGGGACTCAAGAAGGGGAGTCTTTGCCCTGGAGGAGATGGGAATTGTATAGTTTATATTTGACTCAGAAAGGAAAAAAATTAATCATTCAAAACTGTCTTCTGGACATAGGCAAAAGGTCAACATTGACAAAATTCATTCATAAATATTTTAAAGAGGAGATCCAAATTATAACAGCCTTCCTAACACAACCCATCCATCCTGGCTAATTTTATGTCACTTTGACACAAACTAGTGTCATCTGAAAGAGGAGAACCTCAATTGAGAAAATACCTCCATAAGATCCAGAGGTAGGGCAATTTTTTTTATTAGTCGTCAATGGGGGAGGGCTTAACCCATTATAGGTGGTACCATCCCTGGACTGGTGGTCCCAAACTTCAATAAGATAGCAGGCTGAGCAACTCATGATAAGAAAGCCAGTCATTAGTAACCCTCCATGACCTTTACATCAGCTTCTGCCTCCAGCTCCCTGCCCTGCCTGAGTCCTTGTCCTGACTTCCTTCAGTAAAGAACAATGGTAAGAAAATGTAATCCAAATAAACCCCTTCCTCCCCATGTTTCTTTGCTCATGGGATTTTATCTCAGCAAGAGTAACCTTATGTATGTTACCATCCCTTAGTCATCAGCTTCAAAGTCCTGCAGACATTCCATGGGAACCATCTAGTCACACCAGCCAAGAAAGCAGATAGACTAAGAAAGCAGAAAGGTAATCTTTAGATCTTCACTGCCCCTCCTTTCCTCCAGAATCAGTCCCTCAGTCTCATCCCCAGCTCCACGACAGACTGCTAGCTATGGCCTCTCCTCCCTTTCTGTCTCCATCATCAGGGGACTAAGATTCTGATGAAACTCTCACCTGAACACCTTGTTTCTCCCCTCCCATTGAACCCCTCAGGTGACTGCTAGTCCATCTCCAACACTAAGTGTCAGCTCCAAATTCCAAGAAATACGTTCTAACTGGAATTTCTAGTGTCCACACCTAGCAGGATCTCAGAAGCATTTCCTCTACCAGGAAACACTCAGCTACCACACTCTCCTAAGAACAAGAGAGGACAACAGAAACCAAAGAATGGAGTACCACCAAACAAAGACAAGAATACATATCAACAGGTAGAATTACAATCCTCCTAAACCCAGATGCCTAGACACCAGCATAAAAACACAATCAATTACAGCCACAACAGTGTGTCTCTTCAAAGCTCAGCAACCTTATTTTAGTAGACCCAGGAAATGCAATATAGCTGAAACACAAGACAAGGACTTCAAAATAGCCTTTATGATTATGTTAGATGTCCTTAAAGAGGAAATGAATTAAAAAAAAAAAACTCTGGGTGGTGGTGGTACACTCATTCAATCCC